CCTCCTCCTCCTCGCGGCCCGCGGCTCGGCCGGGCGGCCGGCCATGGCGGAGGGGGGCGAGCGGGGGCGCTCGTGGTACCTCAGCAAGGAGGAGATCGAGGAAGGCTCGCCGTCCAGGAAGGACGGCATGCCCGCCGCCAGGGAGGCCCAGCTCCGGTCCGTCTACTCCAGCTACATCCGCGACGTCGGACGCAGGCTCGGGGTGTAAGCGCCCTCCTCACCCCCTCCTCCTCCGTTTCCTCCGGCCCGCGGCCGAATTTCGCTCGGGGTCGTCCGATCCGTGCCCTAGTTCTCGCGAATCCGCGGCCGCTCGGCCCCGGGCCTGGCCCCCGATGAAATCCGCGGTCTTTTGACGCTGCTGTTGTTTGTTGTTGCTGCAGGCCCGACATCACAATCGCGACGGGCACCGTGCTGTGCCACCGCTTCTATCTCCACCAGTCCCTGCTCAAGAACGAGTGGCAGGTACCCCCTGTTCATGGGACCCAACAATGGCAAATCGTTTCTGCACACACGACCTTGAATTCCGTGACTGACTAACCAGTTTGGCGCACCGTGTGTCGAATTCATGCGCGAAATTGAGCAATTGTTCTCCTAACAAGCTTTTTTTGGGCCTCGTCAGGGTCTGTCCATGCTCCTGGGGGTAAAATGTCAACACTTGCCATTTTTACTGTCACTGTGTCCGAACTAACATTTTCTCTTACCTTTGTAGCACCGTGTGTGGACTGACTGTTTCTCTTACCTGCGTAGCAACTGTGTCCAAACTAACGGTTTCTCTTACCTGTGTAGGATTTTGAAATGTTCTTCTTACCCGCGTAGCAAGTCCGTCCAGACTAACGGTTTCTATTACCTGTGTAGGATCTTGAAAATGTTGTCGTTTTCGGTTTAGTAGACATTTTGGGGTAGTCGAGGGTTGTGTAACGTGTCTGTGCGTTTTCAGCGCACCTAGCCTGGTCACGGCAGACAAAATTGTAACATGGGTTTTGGATCAAAGGTAGAGTTGAGATGTTTCACTCTGGTTCCTTTAAGTAAGGGGTCTTGAGGTGAGGTATGATAGCTTTATGTAATTTTATCGGGAGCACCTAAAATTGCACGGACGAAAGGTGTGGTTCTGGTTCTGTTGGAGCAACTTTACGAACTTGAAGAGGCACTTTCTAATAATACTCTAGACAGTAAGTACTAAATTTTTTTCGCTGCTATTTACTTTCCTCCCAGTAATATCAAGTCCTGTTCTTCTTGCTGCTGTGGGTTGTCTTCCTGAAAAAGGAATTTTGTTCAAAGCTGAGTGGCCTATATATAATGCAGCAACACAACTTCGTACCATTTTGTAATTATGCACTTGCCATTTAAAAGGTTAGCTACTAACTGTTCTGTCCTTCCAGACTGTTGCAACTGCTTGCATCTTTCTTGCTTCGAAGATTGAAGACACTCCTTGCCAATTAGGACGTGTCGTTACTGTGGCACATGAAACAATGTATAAGAGAAAACCTGATGCTGCTCGCAGAATCAAACAGAAGGTACCGCGAACTTCTTGCTTTGTACTACTATTGCTGGCAGCTGTCCTGTTTATTGTGATGTTTCTGTTCTATATTGCTCAACTTTTCTGAACTAAAAATAGGAGGTCCTTGAGAAGCGGAAGGACCTAATTTTGATGGGGGAGGCACTATTGCTTTCAACCATCAGGTTTGATTTCAATATACAGCATCCTTATGAGCCACTAAATCTCGCTCTCAAGAATCTGGGGATCTCCCAGAAGGAAGTGAAACAAGCTGCAATAAATCTCATAAATGATACGTAAGTTATCTGGGGTTACCCTGTCATATGTTTCTCCACAATTTGGCAACCTTGTTATTCCTGACCTGGTCATCCAACTGTACAGGCTTCGGACTACATTGGTAGTGCAATTTAAACCACACTACATAGCTGCTGGAGCTCTCCATCTTGCCGCCAAGTTTCATGATGTTACACTCCCTTCTGAACAAGGAAAAGTATGGTGGCATCAATTCGATGTTGCTCCAAGGCAGTTGCAAGGTACAGTGCTTGTATGACGAATTCATTGAGTTAGTTTTCTTCTGCATCCATCGAGACAGTCATTTACCTTTCAGTATCATCAATTTTCCTTCTCATCTGATGGCTAGTTATATTTGCAGCTGCTATCCAGCAAATGAAACAGGTCTTTAATGAAAGAAACCAACGCCCTGCGGGTCCTGCTATCGGGCCCATTCCAGCTCCAGCTCCGGTGGAGAAACAGCAGGCAGTAAGATTCCCGAAGCCAGCTCTGGTGGCAAAACAGCAGACACTAAGCTTGCCAAAGCCAGCTCCGGTGGCAAAACAGCAGGCACTAAGCTTACTGAAGCCAGCTCCAGTGGAGGAACAGCAGGCTGTAAGCTTCCCGAAGCCAGCTCCAGTGGCAAAACAGCAGACAGTAAGCTCCCAGAAGCCTGCTCCGGTGGAGGAACATCAGACAGTAAGCTCCCCAAAGCCTGCTCCATTGGAGGAACAGCAGACAGTAAGCTCGATGAAGCCAGCTCTGGTGGAGGAACAGCAGACAGTAAGC